TGCTACCAGCAATTAAATCAGTTAGCCCCGAAGGGTGACAAAAAGGTAGAAAAATCTTTCAACTAAACTAACGAGAAAACCAGGTGCTAGTAATTATTATTATTTATATTTTTTTCTTTATAAATACTAATCAATGAAGAAGATTAAGTACGTGTTTGATTTCCTACCGAACAATTTCCTAGCTATGAATATATTCTATTTAAATTCGTAACTAACACGAAATTACATAGATTTTGACAGGTATGAGGGAATTTTTTAAGTGGGCCTCATTATTAAGATATGTAAACTAATAAACGAGGACCTAATAGGGATGCTCTCCTTATCAGCAATAAAGATAGAAAAGTGGTTCCAACCCCAATCCGAGCCTCTGTATATAAACACATACACATAGGAAAAAAAACGTTAGGAAAAAAAAATTTAAACACATTTATCCTCATTTAAAACACATACACATATATGTATTTAATGCTGTATTCTATGCTCTATTTTTAACAATCGAACTACCGCTTCTTTTAGGGAGTGTTACGTTTCGTCCACGAATGTTTCTGAAACAATAGCTTACGTCACCTGCACAGTGGTCGCCACCTGCTCGGTTCTCCAACATACACACCAATGGGGTGAGTTGAAGTAAGACTACCTTTGATTGAACCGACTAATATCAAGCCAGCTGGTAAATCGTGCGCTCATGAGAGGAGAAGGCAACTGCAGCCCAAGATAGGAACCGTACAGCTGATAGCAGTTGAGTAACCGCCACATTGACAACCAGATGTCGAAATGGAAATAAAGAAACTCTTTTATTGATACTTTTAATCCTATAAATAATCCCTTTTTTATTATATTTTGCAGCTGATAATCGTTTTTTTTTTCTTTTAAGGAAGGACTTTTTATACGTTTTATAAAAGAATTATTTCAAATTTGTGCTCTTCTCTAATAATAAGGGTAGAAGATTTCTTTTTTTTTTTTTTCCTCCTCCATTCTTATAAAGGATGGTTGTTTATAAGAATTTTTTAAAAATAATTTTAATTAAAGTAGGAAAACAAAACAAAAAAATGTCAGAAACTAAATTGATTCGAAAGGTAGTTATAGAAGAATGAGAGAGAAAAGTATCTATAATTGGGGTCATGAAAAATGAGGAAGTTTAAAGGAGTGACCAGCACAGCAGATGGTTTTTTTTTTCCTTCTGAATTTTGCCATTGGCAATATTAAACTCCTAACCAGATGGGTAAGAACAGTGCAGGGTATTGTTTCTACCAGACTGATTGGTTTTTTTTTTCTTCCATTTTCTCCCCTGTAATAAAGATAACAAAGCGATTCGCCTTTACTTCGCTTCCAAAATTTACATTTCGTTAATCACAGAAATGGATCGCTATAATTTATATCTACAGGAAAAGTTTTATTCTTTAAAATTTCATCTATGCCATCGAACAATGAGAGAATAACACCGAAAAAAAACAACGAAAATATTTCTGTCAACTTTTATAAACTGTTTACGAATGGATACAGGGTGGGCCAAAAGTCTGTTAACTGTATGAATCGTTCTAAAGTATTTTAAAGATATAATTTAGTAATTTGTATATACAACGGTTAACTGATTTTTAAACCATCCCAGTGTGTCTAAGGCTACAACATTTCATTCTGAAATATTGTTTAATAATTAAATTTTTAAATATATGCAGAAGTGTTCGTAATATTAGAAGAATAATACGATTTCAGTCATACTTTTGAACGGGTTATATTCACGTGTGACATTTCTAGTCTTTATTAACAATTGTTACACGTAAAATTTAACAAATATTTCGTAACTTCCATCGTAAAAAATCTCACCCCCCCTCTACAGTAGGATAACGAGACGAATTATCATCTTCCCTCCCTTACGTTGCAAATACTAAAATGACCATATTTTGTCAGTTTTATAGCAATACCTGTTGTATATGATAGTCAGACTTTAAACAGTCGTCAAAGGAAGCTAAAAGTAACTCGAACTATTTCAAAAAAGAACAGTTGAGAGGCCACTTCTATGCCAGTTAATGCGGTGAGGCAGGGATCTGCACACCTGCTTGCTCTTCCCCCGTCTTCCCCGTGCAGTGTCGCGAGCAGTCCACGCGCCTGTTCCTATTGTCTGCAGTAGGACAATTTACCGTATGTCTAAGTTTTGCCGTCTGTCTGCAGACGAAATCCAACGACTTTTGTAGATCTTTTATATTGTCGTTTTTTTGAATCTGTATAGCTACTCAAAGCTTCCATAAAGCCTTACTGGTAGAGCGCATGTGGTAGATCTAGAGATAGCATGACATGTACAGAAGAATATCATTAACTACTATCTGCCGGAAAGCTAACACTCGTTACTTTCTTTCTTTCTTTACTTCTTTTTTTAATGTTAAGTCATTATATTGTTAACCATACTTATGTTAGATGCGATCGTAAAAAGGTATAACCTATATGGCACAGGGTTCAAGAAGTCCTTTACGTTGTATATTTTTTTGTGTTATTTAATGTACGAAATTACTCCGATTCCATCGAACAAGTTGATTTTTTAACACGTATCGACGAAATTCTCTACCAAAATTCGTAATTGATTTTTGAGAATTTCAGGAGGAATCGAGTGCCATCGATTGCTCGAAATTGCTCTATTTTGTGAATTCCTCATTTTTTAACCGCTCCTTTTTAATATTTTTCATGAAAATTCATAAAATAATTTATATTAGAAGGCTCCCAATTTAAGATTTTCCTCTTTTTAGATTCCTTCTGGAGTAATAATCATTTCTTCTCTGAAGATCTTCTTCGATCTTGTGATGGAGTTTAAGCTTAATCAATGGAAGATCTTCATGGTTTTTCGTTATTTTTATTCATTTTCGACCACATTAAATAAATAAATCTTCATAAACACTACGTTATAACACTATTTTGGAATGTTCCCATTGAATGTAAATGTAAAAATGAGGAAGATAGAAATCATTAAGAGACGAAAATTAAATAGTCGGATTGGAAACCAACAACCATTAAATCATTGTAATTCAAAAACGATCAGAGAATTATATTAAAAAAAAAAAAAAATAAGGGCAGTTGTGACTAACAGGAAATAGGACTAACCACAATTGTTATGTGTAGCTAATTTTGATGGATTGCCGACAAGGAAACAGAGTAGGTGACATTGTAATCGGTTGTAGACTAGACCCAATCGTGATGGATCGGATGCTGTACGAAATAGTAGTTCAAACGGAGGAAAAAAAGGGAAAAAAACTCCATGCACAGCTGGTATACACTTTTGAATTTGAGGATGCGGTAAAGTTGTAGTAGCAGCTGAGTATTACACGCGGTTTGAACCATAATTTTATCGAATGTATCTATTGTATAACGTGTAAAATCACACGAAATTCCAAGTTATTTCATTAGATAACTCTTTATATTCCATTCTTACGTATAAATATATTCATAATTTAGTATAACAAAAGCTAAAAACTTTGGCTCGATTACTTTAGTACATAAGATGAAAGCTTTATTTGTAAAGAGCAAACTGGTTCTTCAGAAAGGCACCCCTTTGTTAAATATTGATTCTAGCAGCGAATTTGCATGAAGACCTTGAAAAGAGATTAAGATGGTATTTCTTTTTTTATTAAATTATATGATATATAGATGTAGAAATGATTTTATGTTAAGTAAGTACAGTGATTATACTGTATTAAAAGAAAAACAAGGAGTTGGGTGAACTAGAAGAAGTGTAAAGAAAGAAAAAATGGTATCACGCAATAATAATAAAAAATGGGCGCCTAGAAAGCTTCAATTTATATATTTAAAGATTCATTTTAAAGCATGTATAATGTATGAAAGGGTATAGAACAGGTGTGGATATTTTTCATGTATAATTAATGAGTGTAGATTAGCCGTTGCTTGACGTACTCTTATGGGAGCATCTCACACTCATTCATTCCATCTTTTCTGAATAAGTACAGGAGAAAGAGTAGATTAAGTTTATTTATCGTCACGATTAATTAATTAAGAATTGTGTAATGACGTGGAAATATCTTTAGTAACTCGTCTATACAATTTGTCGAAGAGGCATTCGACGGAAAGAGTTCTAAAGGGGGTATGAAATGCTACCACAATCGTCACAGAGAAGTGTGTAAGGCCCGGAAGCGACCGGAATGACAGACAGATGTGTGACACAAGAGGAAGAACCAAGATAGCAAATATGGCGAGGATATGACGTCACCACATGGAAAAGGAAATGCGGACAGTCGGACTAAGTATGACAATAGGCAGTTAATAATTGATACTTAAAAACTGCTATCCATGTTTGAAGTTTGATTTTAACGGTTACAAAAGATATCCCTTTCTTTAAATTCGTTTTTTCTTCTGTTTTTTTTTTTTTCTTCTTCTCTTAGTGACAGTTGGAAACGGAAAAGAGTTGTTTCCTGTCTTCAAAATTTTACGTTTGATTTAAAAATAAAATAAAATACGTATAACATCCGTGCAATACGTTTAAGATTAATGTCATTTGCATAATTTATATCATTGTCTCAACGTGGGTTTTTGAGAAAATGGCTGGAAAACGATTTAAATTCGAGCAGTTTTTTTCAATCATTCAGGTATTTTTGGATAATTTAATCACCTTTGTAACGGTTTATTCGTAAAGAATTTATTTAAATGGGACTTCTCTTGAGTGACAAAAAAGAAACTCTTTATAACAGAAAAATTCTTAAAGAAATTAATTAATTTACATTTAGAATTTCGGAGGAATTACTTAAGAATTTTCTGTATAAAACTGATAAATAATAACAGCAATTTTATAGGAATACACTAAACTATAAAGCGTGCAAACACGAAAAAAAATTATACATAATTTTAGCACCTGTCTAGTATAAAATACACTTTATACTTATCTAATCAGCGACAGATAAATAAATAAATAAATAAAGCTACAATGAAATATTTTAAAGATATTCTATTTATAAAAAAAAAAAGTGTAAATAAACTGAATAAATAATTTGTAAATCTTATAGTGGTATAAATAGTGACGTCACACCACACAAAACGAATCAGCCACCAACAGCTGTTGAGGTGAATGTTAATACTGCAGCCAGAGAGGCCACTTGAGTAACCCTCCTCCCCTAGCTGGGTATATAGAGGTAGGTCTCACCGCAACAGCAACCAGTTCGCCAAAGAAATGGCTGCTCTACTGGCACTTATAACTGGGTGTTGTTTGTTTAGTTGGTGTTTTGCTACACTGGATATCGATACACTCGGTAGGACGGTAGCCGAATTAAAACTTAAAGTATCAGATTTACAAACGGCGAAGAACATAGACAGGCAAACGATACGTCATCTAGAATCACAATTACAGAATCGACGATCAATTTTAGAGAGTTTAGAAAGGGATCGTACTTATCTTAACAAGTTGGAGAATCAATTGAGAGAATTGAAATCCGAATTAAGAAGATTTGTAGGAATTAAAGAAAGAGAAACCGAAGTTACTGGTGAAGTTAGTTCATTATGGCTACAAACAGATTCGTTGAGAGAAGAAATAGGTGCTCTAAGAAGGGATATACAATCGGTTAAGACTAGAAGAGAAGAAGACGAAGTGTATCTGAATCAAGCCAAAAGTAATCAAGTGTCTAGTAAATGGGTGCAACGTAATTTAGACGAATTAAGGAATCAAATTGCAGACGTTGCAAGAGCCGTTAATCTTTCGGCATCGTTAACTCAGAAGCAAAATGTCGATTCTAATCTTAAACTGGTGAGGAAAGATTTTCTAACTTTTCGTAAAGAATTAGAAGAAATGAAAGCTGCACAAAAGAGGAGTTGGGCCGGACAAAGTTTAACTCAACAAGATTTATCGGAATTAAGATGGAGGATACAGAAATTGTTAGTGGCACAAGCTCATCAGAATAAGGAGGTAAATATTTTCGTTTTTTTTTTTTAAATATAATTTAAGATTAAGGAAAGTATTCTTCGTACCCAGTAGCGATACATTAACAAAAGTAACAGATAATGAGTGGAATGGGAGACACACACACAACATCCTAATTAAAGGTTTGGGGTCCTCGTACGTTCTTAACCCCCCGAGGTTATATGCCCTATAGGCTCTGATGCATTTTATCTTTAGTACAGGTGTAAAAAAATGTACTTATTTTTGACAATTTATCAAGCGTAACTTCCGTTTAAATTCCTTATTTTTTTTACTACGTTACTATAACAATAAAATAGTACTTTTTTATAGTTAGCCCATTTAAAATATTTCTTAAAGACAAACTCTGAATAATATAATATGGTTAAAGCTTTTTCTATCTCCATATAAAAAAAAAAAGGAGCTAAGGGAAAAAACTGTATAGGTGCTTCCGAGTTTGGTGTAAGAAACCTGACACTACCTACCGCGGCTGGATGTCTGAAATGTAGTATCCTACAGCGTAATTCAGTAGCATAGGTAGGCAGGTCTACATTCCATTCTCCCAGGGTGAATTTGTAGGGATCCTTTCGACGTCTATTTTCTCACGTCTTTTCAAATTCCACCTCTCACAGTGTTAGTAGTAGTAGTAGTAGTTATTTAATTCCAAACTACTGTAATATTACAGTAATAAAAGAATATTTTAAAGGACATAATTAATAAATTAAGAAGTAAATTTTTAAGCTGAAAATAATAAAATATAAAGAATTAAGAGAGCAAATTTACTGGTGTTAATGTAATTTCTAAGACGTTTTCGACATTGATAAATTGTAAATATTTCAAACGTATCGTAGTATAAAATATAAAAGAGGAACTACTAAAAAGTAGAGTACGAACAAGAAGAGAGAGAATTATGTTGAGCTGGTGGGAGAAAAATATAGGGGTCTAGTGCTAAAGTGAAGCAGACAGAGTCCTTCAGTTTTTGAATGGAGCTATCAGGTTGGGAAATTCTCTCTCGCCAGACAAATAACACGGCAAAAGAATAGAGAGAACACAATGGCCAACTCTCCCACTCTTCAACTTTAATCTCATAACCATTCTATTCGGTAGAGACGGGCTCTGTTCTTCTGTATCGCAGCAGGGTTTCTACTACGTCTGGTTCGTTGGCATTCAATCATTTTTTCAAATTTACTGATCAATGACCTAAAAATATACATAGTTTTAAAGCTTTTTAAAAATTATAATGTGGAAACTAATTTAAAACTTTTAAAAATTATAATATAATCTTCAATACTAGAAAGTGAAACCATTGATTTAGTGAGGGATGAATCTATAAAAGTTATTATTTTTTTTTCGTTGCAGGTGAATTATTTACGTGAAGAAATATTACGGCATCCATTAAACGATCCAAAAATGCTGGTAAGTTTAATAATAAATAATACATATATTCGCAAAATAATTTAAAATATGTAAACTAATTATGTTTAAATTGTTTAGGAAAAGAGTACAGATGTACAGAACGGCGGCCATAACGAGAACGAACACAAGAAACGTCACCACTGGAAGGCAGAACTCTCTTCGCTGAAGCAAACCGTAGCTAAAATGGCAATAAATCAAGCCCACCTATTAACCGATTTACAAGAAACGAAACAAGGGTACACTGACTTGAACGCAACCGTTCATCACATCAATCAAGTGACCGACAGACTGTACAATCAAACAATGAATTGGCAATCGGATCACGACGTCTTGCTTCAAGAAGTTCACGAAATTCGCGAAAGATTCGAACTTTTAGAAGAAGAATCGTCTGAAAACCGAGAAAAGATCCATAGCATTAACCATTCTGTTGCTAGCATCGATAAATTACACGATTCGACCATGCAACTCTTTAAAACAATGGGAATCATGGAAGATAAGTACGATAAAAACATGCACGATTTACAGAAAGAAATGTCGAAATTGGAATATGTCGTTTCACAAGTACAAACTTCTTATGAAATTCTTCACGAAAATCAAGCTGATTCAACAGAAACTTTGAGGAATTTAAAGAATAGATTTACTCAATTGCAATATCAGATCGACGAAGATCGTGTACGTCTTGTAAACGTACAGCATCAATTGGTGAACAAATCGTTAAATTCATGTTGGGAACGTAACGATCTGACTGAATTACAAGTGAAAATGAACGGATTAGAAGAATCCACGAAAGATATCCTTAACAGATTAAATAAAGATAAAGAAGATATTGAATACAGCGAAGATTACACTCCCGGTAAGTACGTTGTTTATTGTTATCGCATTAATATAACATAATTTACATAAAACAAGCATTTATCATGGACGTAACGAACGTAATAAGGAAATATAAATCATAGACGTCATAATTTATATGCCACGTGTACGACAGAGGGATTTTTTGGGTATTGTTTGGCATGAAAATATATACAGGATATAGGAATAAATTATCATCTATGAATAAGAGTAATACAGGAATTAAAATACGTAATACGAGAATTAGAATAATAAGAACAATAGAATACATTATAATGCGTTCAGCTGTATATATCTTATTTTTCATGTAGTATATTTAAATAATTCAAATAATCATTATTAAATTTGAATTTCAGACTGTTCAGAAATTCGTAATGCTGGAATTCACTTAATAAAATCAACACAAGATTCAATTGGGAGCCAAGTATACTGCGACGGTAATGGATGGATGACGATACAAAAGAGACAGAGCGGAGGAATTAACTTCAATAGAGGTTGGATCAGCTATAAACAAGGTTTTGGACATCCTTCCAGTGACTTCTGGTGCGGAAACGAATTGCTGTACAATTTAACCAACACGGGCAATTACACGCTTCGCATCGACATGTGGGACGTTAATGGTGTTCACACACAAGCCATTTACGATCGCTTCAGAATTTCTTCGGAGAGTAATAACTATCAGTTACACATTACGGGATACCGTGGCACGGCGGGTGATGCCCTCAAGTATCATCAGGGTATGTTCTTCAGCACGTGGGACCAAGACAACGACTCTACGGATGTTAACTGTGCCCTAATCCATTCTGCTGGTTGGTGGTATAATAACTGCCAGAATGCAAATCTGAATGCGGACTATAGAAATGGACTAGTCTGGTACGATCCAGATAAATTAGAAAGTATTCATCTCAGCCGTGTCGAGATGAAAATCAGAAAATGAACTCGCTGTATTGTAGATAGAATTAATTTATTTAATAATAATAATTCGTATACCGTCCTTATCGATACCAAATTGGTATCGGTACAGATCGTTTCTTTTAAAAATACGAGTGCCAAAGAGCTTACGTTTTTTTTATTATTATTGTGCAAAAATATGTAATAAATTTGCTCAGAATTTCTGTAATTTTTTCAATACTTTACAGCTTTATCGAGATCTCAGGAATGCAATATTGCAGACATTCAATATTGTATTGTTCATAATATAGTGTTCATTTCTTCTTCTAGTGTTTCATCTTGTAAAATTTAATGTTAGAAATCCATCAAAATATCATTTTCGTTCCTATTATGTTATAAAAATCACATATGTATACTGTATTTCGTGCAGTGATTTACGTTCAGTATACGAATTTCGTGGCCAATATTATGTACAGATATAAAATATAAGCCGAGGTTTGCGGCCGAAGTTTTCATCTCTAAAACGTGAACGTCGAACGTCGAGCGGGGCGCTCGACGTTCGACGTTCACGTTTTAGAAATGAAAACTTCGGCCGCAAACCTCGCTATAATTTCTTGTAAATATGTTTTTTTTTATTGATTTGTAATAAATAACCATTTTTAAAATTAGATTTTTGTATTTTCTCATGTAAGAAACCGTATTAGTATTTAAAAAGAAAGCATGAATGTACATACCTCGAAAGGTACACAATCGAAGAATATAGCCAGAAACCAATTCAATGTAACCGTACACAGTTCAATATCTAAAGACGTTAAATGACGATAGAGATTTGGTAATTTATCTTGAAGTAAATCTTTTAACACTTCTTGATCCGCTTGAGCCCCAATAAGATTCTGATCAAAGTAATTAGCTGTAAAATATTTCTCTATAATAGTCACTAGACACCTGTAAGATAAGTTTAAGGTCAAGGTTAATCTGTATGGGAGAATCAATGGTTATATCAGCATTGTTTACATACCAAAATGCATCTTCTGGTTCTAAAAATAGTAATGACATCCCAGCTAAGAAGTTCATCCCCTGGCAATAACCTAGAGTAGGATTGTGTAAACAGAATGCTTGCAGAACTTCTTGCATTTTTCGTACCTATTGAAAAAATATTTTTTTACATGAAAATTATTCTAATATTTGTAATTAAAGTAATTTTTCTCTCACCCCATCGGCATTTTGATCGCAAAATCTGATATTATCTGGCATGGTACGGAGTAGATCTAATGCGATTTGGCGACGATGGTGTGCAACCATCTATAAATAATAACGAATATTCAATAAAGATTATACATTATTTTATAAATATTTTACGTATCTAATACTTTTCAAGTGTAAATTACCGAGTATTCTTGTAAATTACCATGTAACTTAAGTATGAAATTTACAATTGATCAAGCGAAGAGCCCATAAAATTTCTACATAAAATTACCTCAGATTCTGGTGCCAAACTGCATAAATTATTATAATAATGAGGACCTTTCTCTTCCATAACATCACGAATACGAAATTTACAAAAAGCACACCAAACTCTACTACGAAGATGAGACGGAATTCCAGAACGTACTAGCACTTTTAATTCTTTCTGTAACATTAAAAATTAGGTTAATTTTATAGTTGTTTTTCCCCCCAATCTCCTATGTTTTTATAAACTATTTAATTACCGTTCGGACGAAATCTTCGTTATTTTGTCTTAGATATTTCTTCCAAGAAGCCAAGTTTTGAGAATAGGAGGGCAGTTGAGTGTTGTAATGAATGTGCAACTGTCGACAGATGTAATGTAGTACATAACCGTCATCTTGGTAACTGTGACGGAATCCCAAATTATCGATGTAACATTGAGGCTTACACAAACTAAAAAATATTAATTTTTCAATATCAAGAAGCATTTTAAAGATTCTACATTAACTTTCTTTGTTTTTACCTTTCATAAGTTGGCAGTGAAGGATTTATCCTCCTCACTTCTTCTAAAAGCTGTAATACCCTTCTCTTATGCTATATATATTAATTAAATTAATCATTTTTAAATATATAAATTAATAAATTTAGATATTAGAAATAAAGAAAATCACCGTTGCTCCACCGTACAGGTATACTTCCCACGTTTCTGGTCCTTCGTTGCAAGTTATTTTTAATGAAGATTGGAAGAGGAAAACGTAATCTCTTTTACATTTGTCGATAATTTCTTCTAATTCTTGTATTCGGCTGAATATATTTTTTTTTATTGTTAAAAATATAGTAAATTTTTTCACAGTAAATAATGGAGAATATCTTACTTCTGATATGTGTGGTTTCTGCGTTGTTCCTGATGATGCATTTTGGATAATTTCAGGACTTCTTCGTTGAGGAATCGATTATGATTCTGTAAAATTCGGCATTTCTCTCGTAACTTCTGGCAATTTCTCTGTGGTGAATTTATTCTGGAAAGAAGTGAAAAAAAGGGATTTTTATATTGTTATATACAGTGAAACCTGCCCAAAATGGAACACGAACTTATACAGGTTTTACGGTGTGCGCGTGAAGAATATTCATTATATTATATAGATTATTCGGATGATTTTAGAAGTAAAGAAGATTATTCTTTCTGTTATTTATAACTGATAATCAATTAATCTCATAAAAACATTGGAAGAAGCCTTTCAACTTAATTGAAGAAATCCTTATCCAAGAGTAGGATTTTATTTATTTTCAATTGAAAAAAATGCATAAGTATAAAAAGGATAATATGTAAAAGAAGGAATATACACAGTAAAGTGCATAGGAAAGAAAGGAATGAACAGGATAGAAAGAAATGAATAGGAAAAGAAGGAAAGTATGAATGAATAGAAAAGGAAGGGATGAATAGAAAAGAAAGAAATGAATAGGAAAGAAGGAATGCATCCTCAACGAATAAGAAATGCATTCCTCGCTTAAAGATAATTTTTTAAATCTTTTTTTAAAGGTAAATTACCCCCATTCTTCGTCGATTTGATCTTCTAAAGATTTTAGACGACTTTCCAAATCCATTACAACAATATTTCTTTCTTCGATGGTATTTTTATACGACGATTCTCTATTTAGAGCCTTGGCTAATTCACATTTTGTACTTCTAAATAATTAAATAAATAAATAATATATATATATATACACACACATATACATAAATAAAATTTTAAATTACTTTACTTACATAAGCTCCAATTCCAATTCGTTCACTCTACAAGATTGTGCAGAATCGCTATGACCGACGGCAGAATCGCTCGAGTTACAAGAAATGGAGCTGAAAGTATTTAAAATAAGCGAGTTTTAGCGCTACGAGGTTTAAATAATCGCGTATCGCAGCGACCATTCAATGTCAACACGTAGTGTACTGTACTTTATTCGATTGGCGCGATAGACCTTTTTTTTGAGTCCATTCTCCCCGACGTATTTAATTCGTTAATTATAAAATTAAATTTATAATGAAAATTTTATTCATTCCGTATTTAATAACAATTATAAATAGTTATAAAATCAGAAAAATGAAATGAAAAAAGTTTTCAATAAATTTCGCTAGATGGCAGCACAGTGTTGTAACTAACCTTTACATTTCAGAAAATACAATAAGTAAATATATTCTATTTTTGAAAGTATTCATCTCGTATATTCATTTTTTTTCATTACGAAAAGTATAAAAAGTTCGATGATAAATTAAACTGTATGTTAAGAGTACTTTACGAAACTCTAAACGGCGGCGCTACAGTCGCATTGTATCAACAACGCGACTGTAGCGCCGCCGGGTGCGTTGTCCGGTAAAGCGGCTTTAATACTGCTGGATAAACAAACTTGCTTATCCAGCTGTATTAAAGCCGCTCTATCTGGTAATGCGCTAGAAATTTTTAACAGCAGTTTGTTCCGAATATGTCCCTCGCCAACCGGCTGCCCCATTGTGGGCTTTGCCGAACCCACGGTGGGCCTAAAAAAAAGTTCCTCTTAGTGCCCACAGGGAGGAAAGAATCCAAAATAAAATACATACATATTTTTATATAGGAAACTGGTTCCTATTTAAGTGTTAGAAACCTGAATAAAACTCGGAAAACTTCACGTGACCGGCCCGGCGGTGAGGCCCGAACTCACGACCAACTACCAGTATTTAGTAGTTTGATTTTAAAAGTTTGAAAAGATTTATTAAACGATGGCAATACGAATGCAGAAGGTATCAATTAGTACGTTAATTATCAAATATTGTATCGTTAAAAATGATAGAGTATGTAACAAAAACACTGAAAACGCTCTTTAATAATAATCAAATTAATCTTTTAGAGTATAAGTGGTGCCCCATGTCTCACCATCCGGTTGCTCCCATTGTGGACCTGACCAAACCTATTACAGGCATGGAAAAACGGGCTTCAAGTGCCCGCATAACGGAGAGTAAAAAATGAAAAAAAAAAAAAAATTAAATAAAATGTTTCAAAAACTACTGACAGTAATATTTATTTAAATATATCAATTTTTACTCTATAAATTAAAAAAAATAATAATTTTCTGAAAATATTTAAAACAGTTAATAAAAACACTTTTAGAGAAATCTAGAATGAAAACAGTAGGTAAGACGTATATAGTATGTCCTTTACTGTACAGATGGCGCTACAGTCAAGTAAAGGCGTATGTAGCGCCACTATCTGTGAAAACTACAGCGCCACCTGAAGAAAAACATCATGTTTAATGCATTGAAAATAAATTGATTTCGATTGCAAACGTGAAAGTTTCAACTCGGTAACAAAGTTCTAATAAAATTGCTAAAGTATCTTCATTTTAATTAAACTTTTAAAACACGAATCTTTTATTCTAGACACAAATAAGAGCAATCTGGCTAAACACGACAAAGTTACAATCCGTTTAAACTGTTTTAAACCCCTCCCAACAAAATTTTTTTTACCAAATTCATATAATTATTATTATACAGATGGACAGAAATTTGAAACTTGTCAGCGCTTTTTATATTTTTTAGGAAAATAAATAAATAAAGTACTAAGTAACACCTTTAACTGCAACATGTCGACTGTGAATAAGCAACGTGTCGACAACTACAACATCGCTTTCAGTGGATATATAACGCAAACAAGCGTAAAAAGTTGGAAAAAAAGAAAACCTATTTGAAAGAAAATCCTTTTTCTAAAATTTTTTAACAGAATAAAATATATTTTATTCCATTATAAATAAAGCTTACTTATGAAAGTATAAGTTGCAGATTGATGTGAAATTTTCCAAACATAATCCGCATCTTATAATTACGTTATTTATAACACTATATATCACGCTTATGTTCAACATTATAACATAAATTTTTACTGTTATAGCGTAGTTATTAACACAATAAAGAATTCAATTATTTGTTTCTTTTTTTTTGACACAATCCGCGTGTCTTCTGCTGTGTTTCTAATTTTCTATGAAGCAGAAATCAATTGAAGTTATAAAATATTACAGACTGCAATTTTTCATAAGATAAAATGATAGATTGCAGTGATATATCTTCAGAAAATCGGAAGAAAAGACGTTCATCCTTTACAAATGAGAAGTATGTAGTGGATAAAAAGTAATTTTCCTATCTACTTATCAATGTATGCTAGGTAAGTATTATTGTAGAAGCACGTTGAGTATGTCCAGAGATGTTAATATACCACTTTTTGATTTTACTCAGTTCGCAAGCAGCCAACAGAAAATCGATTGGATACTTCTAGACAACATCGTTAAACTCCATTACAACATTCGTTCCCACATCCCGCATCATCATGAATTACACACAAGACATGCGATCAACAGCAATTTATTTTTCTCTTCACAATATTGTCCATCAATCATCAATCCTTCGAATTTCTGAAGGTAAATCTTTGTAAACACGTAAGAGCAACATATCTGGGGTGAGAACGAATAGTTAACTGTCTTTGCCAAGTTGTTCTAGAATATAAATGAATATATATATAAACTATGATTTATCAATGTGATTAAACGTATCTAATCTTCATAATCTAAAGGTAAACTTATTAATTAAATAGGCCATATTCGACATTATCGCAAAACAATATCAATAGAAGATAATTCGATATCTCTAGAACGAAAAATCAANTTTTTGATATCGGAAATTTGCATAAAGAATCGTTTCGTTCGTAACGAAAATGGAAAAAAAAAAAAAGAATTTTACTTGATAAATTCTAATAAATTTCTCTCTATTATAACCTAATTTCTCTTTTATATATTTAAATATTATAATTTAAATTTAAAAAATAAAAATTGTTTTAAATATATTTAAATAAACACTAAGGCTTTATCTTTTGTTACTTACGCAACCGACCGCTAACTATTTTATGGCGCTTTTATGTACTATTTTACAATAAATTTTCGTTCAAATATAAAATTTTCCATTAAAAATCTAACTAAATAACAATTTTTTTTATTTTGTATTTTCAAACAATTTCAAACAAAACAATTGTAACAATTTTCCCCCCTTAATTCCTAAGGGTTTTTTTTTTATTGGAACGTTGGAACGGGACCATTTTGAGGTTCACGCTGCGTTACCCGCTGATCGATACGTCATGAATATGATTTTACCAACGTGGTGTTATCTAATTGGGGACGAATATCTGCCAAGCCCAGATGACAGGAAAAAAGATTTAGGCTAACAACACACGGTAGCAGCTGATATAACTGGAAACGAAATTGAGAATATGGTCACCGTGCCATAATTAATTCCGTAGCATCGTTTTCGGGCTGGTTTTTTTCTTAAATTTATGCCACAGTTAATAGTAAGATTACTGAAGTCGAAGCAACAAAACAAAACACAGATTTATAAGGAATATTGTTTTGTATTTTATGTTTTGAGTGTGGAACGAAGTATATATTTATGAGGTTAACGATGCTAATAATATGTTTTTAGCACATTAATAAGGTTATTAAAGTATCAACACGTGTTAGATTTTAATAGGACTTATGAAAATTCTTCAAAAAATTAATTTAAATTTTTATCCAATCACAAATCGTTAATTTGAAATTTAAAATTTGAATCAAATAAAGTAATTCGTTAATGATCCATTTCAATTTATTTGAACGTTTAAATGTAATTTAAACGGACGAATGAAAATGATTAAATATTCAAAATTTAAAAAAATACAATATGGTTATCGTAAAATTATATAGAAAAAAATTTTCTTTATAAATTTTATAGGAAACGTCGCACATTTTGATGGTAAAGTCCCAACTGAATACCAGTTTATATAATCTGATGATAATTTACTACGACAATGCGGCAATAACTCGATATATTTTGATAATATAATATCTTAGAATAGGTTGAACGATAGAATGCTTTAAATTAATATAGAATATAATAGATTAATCTAAAACAAAAACTAAAGAAGAAGAAGAAAAAGATGTTAATAGATCTTAATTAAGATAAGTAAATTTAATATAAACCTTGTACGGTCCTTTAACTCGTTCTCCGTCTTTCCTTGATCAGAATTTAATCTTCTTAAAAGTCTTAATTTTTCGTTAGAAGTTTCGTTTATTTGTTGAACGTCGTCTTCAGATTCGGACGTATCTAATTCCTGCTTTTTATCTTGATTATTATTATCATCTGTGGCTGCTGTTTCGTCCTTAACATCGTCAGAATCCGACTCCTCCGATTCTAAATTTTGGCTCGTGTCTTCTTTAAAAAGAATAAATAAATCTTGTATTATTAATAGGAATAATGTCTTAACTTTACACCAGAAATACTGATATACTGAACTACATTCAGATATATACAAATATAATATAATAGTAGTAGAAAGAAAAAGAATTGACTTGATGGAAAAGAATTGAACTTCCTTGTTTAATGTTTATTTAGTTACAAATCAAGAAGCTTCAAACAGAATGTAAAATAAGAGAAATGCATCGGCATAACAAACAAGCTTGTGAAATTGTGTAAATGTATTTATTTACACAATGCATTACCGGTAATTGAGGCAGTTCATCTGGACAATAACCAACTACACTTTGAATCGATTTAACCAGAGTTAACAGGAGTAATATGTGTAGAAATCACAAACCTATATAAGAATTTACTTTGTCAATGTTTAAGATACAATTGTAGTATTTTCTATTAAAGAATAATGTATTTCTACCATCTCTAGAACGTACAAGATTAATATAAAAGTAGAAATAACTAATACTATTACAGTCGACCCCCCCTATAACACTGTTGATTATTCTGTTTTATATGAATTCCATGTTGTACGAGTCACTTAGATTTTATAAATACATGAGCAATTCACAGCCCAGCACACATATTTATAAAATTTAAGTGGCTCGTACAACATGGAATTCATATAAAATAGAATTATCAAGTGTTATAGAGGGGTCGACTGTATATAGGAAAACGATTATTAATCTTAACTCAGTATAATAAATAAAGTTATGTAATAGAGTTAGCGTGATTATGTCATGAATAGGAAAATGATTAATTAAAGTTATATAACTTTTACTTACCGAGAACATCGTCATTGACACATTGTGAACCAAATAAAGATCGCATACGAGTTAATGTCGGATGGCTTCTTCCAGTAAGTTTCTGCGTTATATCCAATTGTAGAGATTGAGTTCTAAAGACTTTCTTTTTCTCAGGATTTTTCTTGATACGTGATTTTGATGTCACGTCCTGTTCGCTCTGAATTGTAAGAAAGATCAATACTTTAAAACGTGAGAAATCTGCGATGATTTTCTAAAGGAAACTGGTTCCTATTTAAGTGTGTTACAAACGTGAAAAAACCCGGAAAATTTCACGTGGCCAGCCCCAATCAACGACCACCAACCACCAATGTTCAGTGGTTTAACATTGTTGGACATTAGTCTAACTTATACGTAAATCCGACTCTACTTACGAAGCGAATTAAGCCAAATTAACAAACGTACCGAACACGATTCCATTCTATTTAATGGGTTTTTATCAGCAGTGGCATCGCTATCAGATAATACTTCGTCCCTTTCACGCCATAGATCTCTCTTTGCCTAGAATTAGGTATTAGAAAAGTTTTGTAACTGTTTTCTACTTCAATATACAGATACAATTACATATATACCTGTAGAGCGAGAACCCATATCATCATAGATTTATGATTTTCTGCTGTTAATAAATACTCTTTTCCATCAGAACTGAAAAATTCCATATTGTTTTCTTCTATTTTTTTTTAAATTTAAAAGAATAATTTTTTTAAAAAAAGAAAATTTATTGTTATAAACTTACTGGATGATAAACTGGTTACTGTGATCCAGTACTAAAGATATGGCGGCATCTTGGACGTTGATTGTTCCCAATGGCGATTGGGTTTTAGCATCGTATTCATTCTTGTAATAAGCCAACAAACCTCGACTTTCGTCCAAGACGTACCA